ATAGATAGGCAACACGTGAAAAGAAAAAAAAGGCATAAAAAACATTGCTTTACAAACCTTAAGACTTGATAAAAAAAATTGATATTTTGCTTATGAAAGCATTGTAATGTTTACTGATAATCTGCCTATTTTTGATAAAATTTATTTAAAAGTTATAGCATGAAAACTATAACAAGCACAAAATGGTTATGAGGTCAGTCCCAGGGACCGAGCCCGTTAACAATTGCTAGTCGAAGCATGTTAACAGTCAGTCTCTACAAATAAAATTTTATTAATTAAATATGTTTAATAAACATAATACTAATCAAACAGCAAAACACAACATCTAGAAATATCATTGAAGTTGAGAACAGAAGTTTTTGTAGCGTTTATAACTAAGAGTACAATATAAATACCTCACTCATTTTATAGGTTACTACCTAAAATCGCTGTCTAACTTACTTGCTAACACTAGATTGAATAACTCGGTAACTGACACTGAATCAGATACTTATATTTTACTCTTAGTTCTACATACTACACAAACTTGTAGGTGGTGCTGTAGTTTATCTTCAACTATAATGGCTTTAAGCTTCATTGCCAAGTTTAGTGCTCTTTTGAAAAACCTGCACCTACTTTGCTTCAATATAATTCTCATATTCTTGTCTGATTGCATTTATAAATTGGTCACGTGTTGCTGAATTCATCATTTCATGAGGAGGATCTGGGTAAGATAATTGGGCAAGCCTTTCCAAATCTTCTGTAAGTTAGTCTCGGGTCTTTTCTTTCATCTGTATTATGCCTGGAACTTTTCTTTCGATACTTTCTACTGGTGTGTCTCTCCAAACATGATGGATAAGGCAGCTATCAATGTTTAATAGTTGTTATGGCTCCCAGCTGGAATGTTGCTTAATGTCATTAATGCTGGTCCTTTTAAGTGATGAATAGTTTGTTCCTCACTGGTCTCTCTGTAAATTATTTCAAACAGCACACGATAAGCCTCCCGTAGTACCTTTCCATCATATTCTGTTGGTTTCTTGATTAGCTTCTGTTGTTGAACTGGCCAACTTTATAATAAATGGTGTTTTAGGTTGGAATTCTGGGGTAAATGTAGACAGGTTATCTACAGATGGTGTTTTAGGTTGGAATTCTGGGGTAAATGTAGACAGTGTATCTACAGATGGTGTTTTAGGTTGGAATTCTGGGGTAAATGTAGACAGTGTATATACAAACGGTGTATCTACACATGGTATATCTTTTAATTTTCCAAATGTTCTATCCCATTATCCAAGTTGATAAATATGATTTTGTACAATAGTTCAGAGTGAGCACGTTTCATTAGTTGTAGAAATGTAGCAGGTACATTAAAGTAATCCATATGGCAATGCAACAAATTGCCACAATCCGTTTCCTGCAGTAAGGCCGTCTTCTCCCTACTTGCTTTGTTGACTTACAAATACCCGTTCTTCACAACTTATGTTGAAAACCACATAAAGCAACAAAAGTATTGTCAGTCCTTGGGAGTGGGTAAACATCCTTCTTTGTGAGTTTTTTCACCTACTGGTTGTCGTGTAGAATATTTTGCATCCATTCTTCTTCTTCTTCTTCACAAATACAATAGATGATGACTATTGATTAGTACTACTTGGTTTTATTACTCGTTGTTACTTCATGGCTTCTATCTCTTTTGAAAGCCTCAGTCTGCTTTGTAAGTGGGACTCATCTGGCTACCTGACTTATTTGGGTTTCACCTCCAGTATCAAATATTTTACTTGTTCAGCTGTAAGGGCTGTACAGCTTTGGTTATACAGCTCTTATAAGTGAGGTGATAAGCTATTTTTATGGGAGGATTTGATAACAGACTTTAGACATCATGTCTCAAAAGTGAATGCTTCTGATTTTATTTGATTTTGAAGTACAACCTATACATCTTCACATCTTGTAGTGTCACCTCCAGATTTGAATATTATGATTGTGGTTGTGAAGGTATCTTTATTCTTCAGATTCACAAGAGTTCTTCCAACCATCAATCCCTCAGGACATGCCGGAGTGTTTGGTTCTGCTACACATCAGTCACTAGATGTAAATCAGGAATAGAAATAATGAAATAAAATTACATTTAATCGAGAGAAAGCTACCAGGGAGATTGCATTCTCACGTGTAAAGTTGCATTTCCTCATGAATTGTTTTTTTACTTAATCCGTTTAATATGCTCACTTTCATTGGTCACAACTAAAGGAATACAAATGGATCATGCATTCTCGATCGGGAAAGCCAACTAAAAAGATGTAATTCTTCAAGGAAAGTTAAATTCCTTGGGAATGTAATATTCTGATCCCTTTAAATTTAAATTCCTTGGGTATGTAATATTCTGATCCCTTTAAATTTAAATTCCTTGGGTATGTAATATTCTGATCCCTTTAAATTTAAATTCCTTGGGAATGTAATATTCTGATCCCTTTAAATTTAAATTCCTTGGGAATGTAATATTCTGATCCCTTTAAATTTAAATTCCTTGGGTATGCAATATTCTGATCCCTTTAAATTTAAATTCCTTGGGAATGTAATATTCTGATCCCTTTAAAGTCCTGGTTTTAGTATTTCACTTCTTGGTGATACAATGACTGCTTCTGTTATCATTGGAAGTTCAACCTCTTGTTTATAGGCCATCTGATCAGACAAAATGGATGAATGATATATATATAGAGATACAACTGCTACTAAACAGGCTAGGCTTCAGTTAAGACGGTTTAAATCTTTTAACAGAGTGATTGACTTGGGGAATGACAGTAGTTGAGACCATCATTTTACAGGAATTTGAAAGGAAAATTTATTATTTCCCCAAAAAGTAAGTGAGGGGATATATTTTTACTTTTCTCAAAGGTGAGTGTGGAAGGACAGCCTTGAAGGACCAAATGATCCTTTGTTGTCTATAGGTTGTGGTATGATGTCTGTTGCTTTACTAATATATATAGTTCTTTCATTACTTTATGAATTCAAATATTTTCTGAATTTTATGGTTGAGGGTTGAATGTGTTAGATTTAAATTGATATAATAGTATGTACAGTTATCTACAGGCTTTTCTTCTTTTCTCACAGGTACGGGTGAATCTGGCAAGAGCACATTCATTAAACAAATGAGGATTATTCATGGTCAAGGCTATTCAGATGATGATAAAAAAAGCTATATTAAACTAGTATATCAAAATATCATAATGGCAATGCAAAGCATGAACAAAGCCATGGAAATGTTGAAGATATCGTATAAAGATCGGAATAATATTGTAAGTTAAAAGCCATAAAAGTTAGGTATTCGTAGTGTTTGTGTATGTATGCTTATTTCGTTTCCTCCATTAGTAGCTTCTAAAGTTGAACATTTTGATAGGATGATTAGAGCTGGGGGATTAGTGGAACGTACTGATCAATTAGTGATTGAGATTATATTCAACTAATCATTTATTCTGACACAAGACTTGGATGACTGGAATAATTGGAAGCACTAGTTTTGATTGGTTGATTATTTGTGTGATTTATGATACCGATTAAACTGAACAACCTTGAATAGTTTATCAAAAATGTGAAATCACAATGACACAATTTTGATTACTTGTATAGTTGAAATGTTTCCAAACAGTAACAATTAGAAACATTAATATTTATTAGTTGGTTATTTCTATGACATAATTTAATTATAATATTGATTAATCAGTTATTTTATATGGCCCTACTTGATTATATCAGTTAATTGCGCAGACCTAGTGATAATGATACAGTATGAATTGTTAAACAAGGAAATACTAATTCAGGCATCTCTTTTTATCATCTACAGGTTCTTGAAATTGCAGACAGTGAGCTATAAAAATATCAGTAGTGCAAAACCTTTAAAAATGTCTGTTTTTAATTCATGGACCTAGAAAAGTTGTGAAATATTAGTCTCTATAGAAAAAAAATCCCTTGTGAAATAATTGGCTCCAGTGAAAAAATTATACTAACAAAAGCAGATTGATTTTAGGATTCAGGTTTGTTTATATTTTGTGATTACAAATTCCAGGAAAATGCAATTTTAATCCTGCATAACAGGATTTTGGAGTCTTGGAGGAAGTCGTGGAATTTTGTTTTGGAAATTCTGTAAAAACCATACATTTAACTGAAACATTTTTTATTATTTCAAAGTTCTTATTAACTATCATGTTATTTTACAAACGTGTTTAAACATGGGTGTAAAAAACTTAAGATCTGTGAACAAAACTATTAACCCTAATCCACTCAAGCAGCAGTGTGTATATCTACACCTGTGACCACATTCAAAGACATATGAACATATTACTTGTAAATGGTGTATTGATAGTGTTTTATATTTGGTTCTTTTTGTGTCAGTATTATATATTTTAAGGCCCTTCATATGACAGAATCTGTCTTGGTTCCAGGATATTTATAGATGAATCATTTCAGTTAGCCGTTGTATCATATTTATTATCTGTCATTGTGTTACCATAGTTTGGAATTTCTGAGTGTTTTATAATGTTTACAATTGACTCTATCAACCAAATACAACAATGTTTTTAATTATAAAGTAAAAATAGGCATGTATGTTGTTTTATGTACATGTGTTGTCTTTCATGTAATGATATAAAAGTATGGTATTGTTTGAAAGATTGTTACATGTAGCATTGTTTGAAAGATTGTTACATGTAGCATTGTTTGAAAGATTGTTACATGTAGCATTGTTTGAAAGATTGTTATGTGTAGCATTGTTTGAAAGATTGTTATATGTAGTATTGTTTG